GGGGGGGTGCGACACTAGGACACCACTAACTTCCTTTTTATTCCTTATCTTTAGCCTACTGCTTTCCAAGGTCTCCAAATTCCAATTTTTCTACACTGAATCGTAAGCGAGCGCATCTATTTCAATCCAGGATATGACTAAGTAATCTGCTCCATTTCATTTTCGTATCAGATAAATACTGCTCCAGTACTACATTTCTGTAATAAATAGGCGCTGTGTCCAACATAAAGACCGGATGGGCATCAAGCTTTGTCATTCAGCCCCATCGCTAGACTATAGCTCTCGCTTATTTTGTGTGGAAGGCTACATCCCCACGCCGCAAAACAAAAGCAAACCTAGTTCAAACTTCACGATACCATTTTTCTAGATTAACGCGCGGTTTATGTTGGGGTTTAACTGTACAACTAGCAGTAGCCACGAGCTCATATGAACGGGTTTAACACAGGAAGGAAATATTGTGCTTAAGTGACTTAAGGAATAGTTTCATTACCTCAAATGCAAATAGAATTCTAGCTCTTTCTCTGGACATGTGGTGGCTCTTAAAAGAGCCTTTGGGGTTGGGAAGAGTGGGAGCCAGCAGCCTCCAAACGCAGCCCGAGGTTTACGCCCTCTCCCCGCGGATGCGGCGCGCCAGCTGGATATCCTTGGGCATGATGGTGACGCGCTTGGCGTGGATGGCGCACAGGTTGGTGTCCTCGAAAAGCCCCACCAGGTAGGCCTCACTGGCCTCCTGCAGCGCCATGACGGCAGAGCTCTGGAAGCGCAGGTCAGTCTTGAAGTCCTGCGCGATCTCGCGCACCAGGCGCTGGAAGGGCAGCTTGCGGATCAGCAGCTCTGTCGACTTCTGGTAGCGCCGGATCTCGCGCAGCGCCACGGTGCCGGGCCGGTAGCGATGCGGCTTCTTCACGCCGCCGGTGGCCGGGGCGCTCTTGCGGGCAGCCTTGGTAGCCAGCTGCTTGCGGGGCGCTTTGCCACCGGTGGACTTGCGGGCGGTCTGCTTAGTACGGGCCATCTTCTCCCGGAGTCAGTACGCGTCTGCGGAGCACAAGAAGCTGTGAAATTACAGGTATCTGTCCGGCAATATATAGGCGAAGCAGAGCCTCTGATTGGCTGAGAGCTGCAGAGAAACCGTTGGGGCTTTGAATTTCCCGGGCTGAGCAGTGATTGGACAGACTATAATACCCCTCTGCCGCCAGAAATGCATCTCCACGGGAAAAGTCTCTCGGGGCTGTGTTCTTCACCACTGCACCGGGCCGGGGCTGCAGATCTAGAGTGCGGGAATGTTTGGGGCCAGAGAATGCTACTTTACTTTGATCTGTTTGAATTTCCCGCGCTGAGCGGGCATTGGCCAGAAATTTCAATCCCCACCCCCCTTCCCTGAAGATGCTCAGGGCGCCGGCTCTGTGAGCGGGGCTGAGGTTAGGGCCCAGGTGGCTTGTAACGCAAACGGTCCCGATGGCGGAGCTGAAGCCTCCCGCGCTGGGCAGACCAGGCAGCCGCCTAGCTCTGCGGTTCCCGGGAAGCGGCTGCAGGGCACCGATCGCAGCGACGTTAGTGCTGCAGAGCCCAGGGCAGACTGCACCCCGGCAGGGCGATTTGACAGGGACTGCAGCAGCACTGGCCAAGGGGAACTGCCCTGGAGGGGAGCTCCTAGTGCTTTGGGAGCAGGGGAGCAACGAGGAAATCCAGCATAGAGAAGAGGGTCGGCTTCGTCCCTGGAGGAATATGTAGAAGCTCGGGTTCAGGAGAATATTTTAATAATGGAGAGCGATGGGTTCCACCCCCAATCCCGCATCTCCAGAGCAATAGAAACTCAGGACAATGTTGTTGTTTTAAAATGTGCCCTTTAAATATGAAACAGAACTTCACGTTAACCCGCTTCTCAAACACCCACAGGATCAGCCCTTCCAGGAGCCCGGGGAACTCGCGGCGTGTCGATCGAGTGAGAAAGAAGGGTCAATGAATCCGTTTGGGAATTTTGAAAAAGCCCGCGCTGGGAAGAGATTGGTGCCTGCCCAACGCACGCCTCCCGGGCTCAGACTCTGCATGGGAAAAGCCGAGGGGGAGCACTTCACTGGGGCCAGACGTTAGGATTACATTTGTGTGCGCAATGTCAGCGTGTGTGTGTGTGTGTGTGTGTGTGTGTGTGTGTGGGTACAATATACGCAAATCTGGGCGTATATAATATGCATGCGCTAGTGTGTGTATATATTAAGATACACATGTATAATGCACACACACACAGGCACACGAACCCCCGCAGCAGCTTCCTCAGACTCAGTTTCCTACAAAACAATTGAAAGGACATGGAAGAGAACAGGGAACCGCGGACTCGCGAGCACTTCAGTGCTGCTTTTCTAAAACTGCCGAAATACAGTGTGGGCTTGAAAGGGGTTTTCAGTTTAGCAAAAATGTTTGTTGCACTTTAGCATGTATTCCAACAGTATGGGATTTACGTCTAGTATGCTCTAAATACTGGTTCAACAGCAAACCGATTTTGTGTACCCCCTCCATATAATTTAGTAACCAGCTCTTCCTTTGAAATTGTGGGTGGCTCTTAAAAGAGCCTTTGGGTTCAGACTGTTCAAAAAAAAAAAAAAAAAAAAAAAATTGCTTCCAGGCAACGCTTTTACTTGCCCTTGGGCTTGTGGCTCTCGGTCTTCTTGGGCAACAGCACGGCCTGGATGTTGGGCAGCACGCCGCCCTGCGCGATCGTCACCTTGCCCAGCAGCTTGTTCAGCTCCTCGTCGTTGCGGATGGCCAGCTGCAAGTGCCGCGGGATGATGCGCGTTTTCTTGTTGTCGCGGGCCGCGTTGCCCGCCAACTCCAGGATCTCGGCAGTCAGGTACTCCAGCACGGCCGCCATGTACACGGGCGCGCCGGCTCCCACTCGCTCCGCGTAGTTGCCCTTGCGCAGCAGGCGGTGCACGCGGCCCACCGGGAACTGCAGTCCAGCGCGGGACGAGCGCGACTTGGCCTTGGCCCGAGCCTTGCCTCCTTGCTTCCCGCGTCCAGACATCTCGACTCCGCTGTGCTGGCACACGAAACCACTGCTTGGAAAAACTGCACAAGTCGCTCCAGCGCCGCGCCCGCCCTTTTATCAACCCGAGCGCATCAGGACGGCGGCTTCTGATAGGCTCGAGCGCGCAGCTGCCCACAGCGGCCAATGAGAAAGAGACTGCTAAGCCCGACCAATGGAGAGATAGCTTGCCGTTCTTACCAATAGGAGTGCCGGACTTGGAGCACAACGATTTGCATGTGTGCCGCCCCGGCCGGAGGCCCCGCGCTGCCCCAGCAGCCAATCCGACGGCTCCGTTTGGCTCACCTCATTTGCATGGCGGCCTATAAAGGAGGGGCGTGCTGAAGAAGATTCCCACTTGCTTTGTGCTGTGTCGTGAGCGAGTTGCAAGATGCCGGAGCCTGCTAAGTCCGCGCCCGCCCCCAAGAAGGGCTCCAAGAAAGCCGTCACCAAGACCCAGAAGAAAGGCGACAAGAAGCGGCGCAAGAGCCGCAAGGAGAGCTACTCCATCTACGTGTACAAGGTGCTGAAGCAGGTGCATCCCGACACCGGCATCTCGTCCAAGGCCATGGGCATCATGAACTCCTTCGTGAACGACATCTTCGAGCGCATCGCCGGCGAGGCGTCCCGCCTGGCGCACTATAACAAGCGCTCGACCATCACGTCGCGGGAGATCCAGACGGCTGTGCGGCTGCTGCTGCCCGGGGAGCTGGCCAAGCACGCCGTGTCGGAGGGTACCAAGGCTGTCACCAAGTACACCAGCTCCAAGTAACCTGCTTCTAGCTTCGTCCCCAGAACTTCTAAACCCAAAGGCTCTTTTAAGAGCCACCCACTTACTCTACGAGAGAGCTGTTAATTGCTTTGCTAACCTAGTTTTGGAACAAATCGGTGTCGTATAAGTGTCATATACATGGGTCGGGGGTGGAAAGTAAACATCTTTACATATGCTCATTTATAGGCCACGGGAGTCTTTCTTCGTTTTAGAAGCCTCATGCGTGTCCATGTCTATAAAAATAGGGACCTTTGCTTTTGAGCTACAGGAGTTACTTTTTCTTTTCCGCTTCCTTTTACACTATACTTGAGAATTGAATATCACTGCTTGTCTACTCTAATATCAAGTGTAGCTCAGAGAAAAAGGTTTAGGTTTTCCCGAAACAGGAGAAAAAAATGCATTTGAACTCCCTTACAGCTGTCTCTCTCAATCTGATGTCAATCTAGGAATGAGACTTCATTAGACAGACAAATGGATGATGATCATCACTTTTACTGGCACCTGCCTTTCCGTTGGATTAAACCAGCAAGGCTGAGAGGGGGGCATCGGTGTGTGGGCAGCTCAGTGGCTCCATATACACTGTTCAGGCTTTTGTGCTCTGGAGAGATCACTCCAGCTTCACTTTAAAATAAAGTGTGGATTATGTTCAGTGAGCTAACGTGTCACTCGGCATAATTCTGTTGTCTTGCAAGACAGACAGATGCCTACTAATCATTGTGATTCAGACTGAACTGCTTTTGGGATCAGAGTATTTGGGAGGAGGAACGTAGTGACACCCAGCACAGCAAAAAGGGGCAAGGAGTGTTTAGGACACTGCAATGCCACCTTTTTGGCCCTTGTCAGGTAGCCACTGGGTATGGACGTGTGCTTTTACGTCCCGATGATATCCACCAGCCCCCTCAGGGTGACTGCAACCCGGCTTGGTTGGTCTAGGTGGGGTCCAGTGCTCTTTTTTCCACCTGCCACGACTTTAATGTTTAAGAGATATTAACGAGGGGGAGGTGGCGACTACCTGCTTCCACCTAGACCGCCCGTCGAGTTCCACCCCGGCTGCCGAAGCTTTGGAGAAGGGATGATAGAAGAAATGACCAGCCCGAAGCAGCTCTTTCCTTTCTCCTTTTATTTATTGTTTTTCTCCCCCCCTCCCCTTCTTTTTTTCCTCCTGGGAAAAGCCGAAGAGGTTTTTGGTCCCGGGGTAACCGGGTTCCAGGCGTCCCCTCAGGGCTCCTCGGAGGCTTCCCGGCGGCTCTGGGCTTTCCCTGCGCTCTTCCCTAATTGCGGCCGCGCCCGGTTTAACTGGCGGCGCGGGACCGCTTAACCAGTGTGGGGAGTCCAGTCTTCCGCTGAACGCCGGGAAGGAAGGTTTTCTCCGCCTTTCTCACTCTGGCGGCAAACGACCCGCCGCTTTTAAATAAATCAAAGGAAAAGAAAAACGGAGCCGACTGCTTGCGGCATCCACCTCCTCCGGGCCTCCTCTGGTCCTCGTTGTCTTTCTTCCCCTCTTCCTCGCTCCTGCAGTGGGGCCGCTGCCGCCGGTTCTTCAGCGTCCTCCCAGATGCTTGCCCTGGCATGGGAGCAGCCTCCTGGCGTCTCGGGCTCCCCGGCTCCGTTCTCCTTGCCCTCTGCTGCTGGCTTCCTTCCTCCCCTTGCTTTGTCTCTGGCCCCCGGATATTGTTCCAGCTGCGGATTCGCACCAATCCATTCACTTGCCGAGGTGGTAAAGGCAGGCAGGGGCGGATAGGGAGCTCCCGCCGCAACATGGACGTGTCTATCTGGCGAGGTCCGTACTCCTGGCCGGGGGTGTGTCCTAGGTGAGTGGTCCCCACAGCCCTCCCTTAGCTATAGGCTGTGAACATGGTCAGTGACTGACAAACCACACTGATTAGTGCAGGCTATGGAAAAAGTCTCACTTATGAATGATATGTGTTCAAGTTGGTACCCTATACACTCAATAAGCTTTCACTGAAGTTACAAGAAGTAGCCTGGGAAAGCAGAATAAGAATCTGGCTATCAAGCCACTTCTTCTTTTGTATGCTGGGTTTTTGGTTGTAGCTGTGTTAAGGACATAGGCAGGCAGGGTTCTTCTTTCGTATGACATTTTAGGATTACAACATTCATAGATTAATATCTAAATTTGATGACCATTCGACTGCTTCAGGGGTAGGTAGCTGCATGGATTCATTTTAGATTGCCATTAAATGATTTAATTGGGCAATCATTTACAATGTGTTGCACCATCTGAGAAAATGTACCACAGTCTCTCTTTGATTCTCCATTTATGGAGTAGGTATCCACATTTTCCAATAAGTGTCTGGATGTGATTTAGGGAGGACCAAATCTTTCTTGGAGGTCAAATCCTGGCTGGGGGCTCATAGGGTTACTGATTATGTATTTCTGCGGCAGGTTGGTATTTGTCCAGGCTTTCCTCCATTGTTTTTTGGTGCTCTTGTTATCATCATAGAGCTTCTTGGCGTATTTCCAGAAAGGTTTTCTAGATTTGAGCCTATTTGGTGGTGGCGTGGTGACGTCCTTGTTGATTGGGAGGTTTAGGTTACTGATGGCCTTACGGTATTCCCTCACGCATGTGGCATTGTGGTGGAGCTGTAGGGGAAGCAATGTTCACTAGGACTGGAAGCCATGGCAGTGGCATACTTTTTAATGTTCTGATATAATCTGCACAGCTGCATT